CAACTGGCCTCTTTTCAGGTAGGTAGAGGGTCAGGTAACTTTCTCATTTCCATCCCGCATAGTTTGCAGCTATCCAACCGAAATGTTCTCCAGCAACATTGCCAGACTTTTAACTTGGGTTACAACACATTATATCCGCAGTTCACTTGAAGTCATGGTTGTAGGTTGAACGCGATTCTAAAGACCCCGAATTCCTCCATCTGCATACTGACATAACCCTCCTAACTCCGGGTCAGGCTGTAATTCAAGCCACTAGCCGTCCCTGGCTGTCGCTATTGGAGATGGAGAGCCCGATTATGATGCTTTTGGTGGCTTTGATTCGCCTATGCATCTCTTGCATTAGCTTGCTGTGTCCCCCCTCCTAACACATGGTCGGCCCTGATGTGGCTCTTCCTGTCTTCGTAGCATTCTACTGCATCCAGTCTATCATCACGGATTCGGCGGGCTGACAAGTCTGCTGCAAGTGAGGGGCTCAAGAAAAAATTACGGGCTTGGTTTGTCAAGCCGCATCAAAGCCGTGTGTAGTTCTGCTTCTGTAGTCTCCGCAATGCTTACCACTGACCTTGTCGGGGTTTGCACAAAAGGATAGGTCAAATCTTCTTCATACCCGGAAGTATCAAACCTCCCGACACAACCGTCATAACACGAATCTAGGGGTTCGAGATGGTAATGCTTCAATGATCTACCTATCCGGTATATTTTCTGAGGGTGACTACTGATATGATCCTGTACTATCGAACAGAGTCTGGCTACAGAGACTGATGATAAACCTGTGAGCGGCCACCAGGCCGTCCGCGTCTTCTCAATAGGGGAGCATGAGAAGGTGGTGGCCTGATGGAATCTCGACCGTTGGCCGGCTTGTCCAGAAAGACCGACGCACAGTGCAGGTGTGAATACACGGCCGCACGATTCACGGCCACGCTTCCCACCAAGCCACTCTGGCCACCTACAGTGTCTACGTCCGATGTGCATCGCAGGTTGTAAGGCGGCGTAGGATACGCACGGAGTACAGAGGCAAGCACTAGCCATGATATTATTGCCCTTACCTTACGAGTACAGCCCCTCTTCGTGCCCGTCTCTGAACAGCCAGCACCCAAGATAGTGCCAATGACGATGACCCGGGTGGCAAGTGTGGAGGGTAGGATTTAAGGGTCACTGGTCTCAGCAGAAAAGTCGGGGCGCGAATCAGGTGCCTGACGTCGTTTCCTCCGGCCTTTTATCCCAACTCGTCATGACTTGGGCTGACAGGTCTGGTTGCGCGGTCCTGAATACTGTTAATTTACCTCGACAGTCCTTCTTGTCAGTTCGAAAACATGACACGCAGCAGCACCAGTTCCAAATACAGTAAAATCTGTCAAAGGCATCTCGCTTCCAAAGACGATGGGATCCGGGGGCAGATCCAATCGATCCTCTCTAGCGCACCCATGACCCGTCATAGTGCGCTATGTATGTATCTAATATCCCCGTACCTACATCAAACAGTCTCAGTGGACATGGACGTTCGACGTCAGAGCTCTTATCCACAGCATCCTCCTCAGCGATTGCCATCAGATACTTGTGAGTTTTTAGAACAAGGCTGATGAATCCTGCGCTTTGAAATAACGAAAAGTATTTATACCGGGTTCTCACAAGATGAGACGATTATTACTCGGTTCAAACAAAATGCGGAAGCGTGACCAGTAAGTATGCTTTCCCAAACCCGTACGCTGGAGATTGGGCACCGTCACAGCCGCGATTCGGGACGTACATAGTTCAGTATCATAGGAGGCATGTTAAGCATGTTGCCCAACAACCTACCTACCCGGGCAGTCAACATTTGATTGTGGGAAAGTTTCCCACTTCCATCTTCAACAGACACTCGCACATGCAAAGTATAAGTAATCTCGTAGAAACTATCTCCAGACGATCGATCCATATAATCCCATTAAGCTTACACCATTGTAATGATGTTGCCAGTAGTCCGAATATTACCTGTCGAAAAGAACCACGTTCCCATCACACCACAGCCCCTCGACACTAAGCGGTGGAATACAATGTAAAATCAGACTCTCGTAATCCGTGACTGTGACCGTGCCGAACGCCAGAAACGAGTCGAGACCAGTACCAAACACTTTATCTTCCCCCCATGGTGATCGCCCGACCCGGATCGCCGTAGCAGAAACGTCCTAAACCCCAGACACCCGACCCGGAAACCCGTTTTTTGCGCGTGCGCAGGGTGGTGGTGACTGGGGCGATCGTCGCCCCGAGACGTCTGGCTCGCCGCATTCATCGGTCTGTCGCATACATAGGAGGTACAGCATCCGTCTCCGTCTTTACTTGCCCTAGAAATAAGCGCAGGCGTGATTATGAAAAGAGACCCTGAGCTCACTAAGACTCGCATACCAGCTTGACGCGCGCGAACGTAGCATCATCGGCCGTATGAATATAGTCAAGGTCGGTTATCGTGTTCATTTTTACAACACTCTTAATAATACATTGTAGAGGCTCATAATTAGTTCTTGGGCCGTCATATAAGTAGGCCGACTTATTCAGCCCATCTGTAGCAGCCCGTACGTCTCATGTTGGAAGGGATCTTGCAGCATTTCATCAACGCCGAGCCGGGCAAGCTCCTCGGCCGTGAACAGTGTACTCCTATATACAGGATGCCTATACAGAAACCTGCTATTTTGAAGCCATTAATTCGCAAGCAGTTGGAGCTACTTCCCATGAAACCCTCTGCTATACCCGTGAGAAACTACAGATGAGATAGTACTCAGACTCGCCCTCCGATGATATGTTCAAATCTTTTGTCACTGCTAATGCGCCTGAGATACAACCCAAACTTGTCTATGCAGCCATCCATAACCAGATCACAAGGAGAACCACTCGCCATCTATGCATTGCTTTCGTCCCCTACATCGACTTCTATGTACAATGGTATCTCTCGCGTACTTCCCAGTATCACAAAGCTTCGCTATAACCCCAGATCAGATACCGCGGTTGAACACCACCATCCCGTCCTCACCCCCCTTGCCGTGAAACTCGCTCTCAAGCTTCTCGGCGCTGATCCGCTGCCTCGTCGGGAACGCCGCCAACGCCAGCGGCAGCGCGACGAAGCTCATGCCGAGGATCAGGCCCAGGTTCACCGGCACCGTGTACCGCGGGTTCCGCCTCAGCCACTCCGTCCGCTGCAGCCGCACGAGCAGCAGCGGCGGCACCACCATGATGGGGCTGCTGTTCAGCACGCGCGACAGCGCCGTCTCCGACACCGCGAGCGTGGCCGCCTTCCGGCTCCTGCCGAGCGAGGGAACGTCGCTCTCCGCCCGGCCCTGCTCCTTCAACCGCAGCTTGTCCGCCGCCGAGAGCACGGGGTACACGTCGATGCCGGCGCGCATCTCCTCGCCGCGCATGAGGAACACGTTGAGCGCGCCCGCGGACGCGACGGCCGCGAAGGGCACGAGGCGGCCCAGGACCACGCGCGTGGAGGGCGCGAGGCGCTTCAGGCGCGGGACGAGGGAGTTGAGGCCCACGGCGACGGAGCACGAGGCGCCCACGGCCAGGAAGTAGGACTGTGCGAGCTTGGAGTAGGAGAGGGGCGAGGACTTGTTCGCGTTCGCGTTGTTGATGGCGACGTTCAGGGACTGGTTCGTAACTTGCCAGGCGATCGTACCAGCGGTCTAGTGGGAGGGTTGCACAGTTAGCTAAGTCTTCTTTCCCTATGGTGGGAAGAGCGCATACCTTCAGACCCGGTGTGAGCATTCCTGCCGTGACAACCAAGTTCGAGAAGACGAAGCACGACATCCGTAGGGGCAAGAAAACTGGCTCTCCGGTGTCTGGTAGATCGCTATTAGCTATCGTCGCTTCTCGTCTTGTTCACGAAAGTTCCCATACCAGGATGTAGCGTCGAGTCAACAATCTTCTTCGCCTTCCAGAGCTCTGGCGTCATCTCGTTGATCTCGCCCGTCTTGTATGCCACCACGAGCTTCTTCGCGTGCTCGAGGCCGCTCTTGCCTGCGAAGAGGGTCCTGTCGTTGGGGAAAGCTCAGTCAGTCACCGCACCACGGCTAATGGCCTCGACGACGGCAAGCCTGTAGCTTGGAGAACTCACCTGGGATCCGTAATGCCTGCGCATTGCCGCACGCGCCCCCAGTATGTGCTGAGATCATACTGCGACTCGGGCAGCTCTCGACTCCCGGGGAGCGAGGCTGACATGCTCGAATTGCTCGTTTGGCACGCGCAGAAGCTACTGATACCGTCCAAGCAGAGCCACCGCAGGCCACAGCAGAAGGGAGAAAGAGGAATGCAGAACTGGCTTCACCAGCATACACAAAAGCTTATTCACCTAGGATCGGTCTCTGACTCCTTGTGCAATGGCTCACGGCATTCGCTCGTCAACTAGCTGGGAGCCCTGCCATTGGGTATCGCGGCGGTGAAAGTTGGGTGTAGCGAGAATGATTGAAGTGGGCCGAGATCGGCTGCTGATTGTACTGAACCGCGCGGAAAGATCGTCGCGCAGAGCAGATTTGGGGATCAAGCAGTGTCCTACTACCCCGCTATAGTGGCCCTGTCGATTTCGTACTAAATAAATTCAGAACAGACAAACGGGCATTGTGTGCACACACCTAAGAATATTCCCTACAGTGCTATAAGTCACCACAACCCATTTTTTTCATATGGCGATGTCAAGTGACAACTTCAAGCTGCTCCCTCCCAATAGCATTGGAAGCGATACCACGTGTTAGCTTGTCCTCCCGCTGTGGGAATTCAACAGAACACTTCTCTAGGGACATTCCGGTTGCTTTCAACGAGCGACGAGCCGTAATTTGGATTGTTCCATCATGTGCATGTGACAGAAATTGATATATTCAAATGAAACTAGCAGCATGCTTCGACTGTTGCTTTCTCCTGCCTATGGGCCAGCGCCACTTATTACAGATACTGAAATATATGTATACAAAAATTAGGCGCATGCGCTCTGGTAGAGAAATGGGAGCCTGCGTAGGCTCAACCGGCAAAAGATACGACCAAGACGGGATTCGAACCCGCAATTTTCAGAGGATTCAATCCAAGAGACCGAAATCTGACGCCTTACCATTAGGCCACCCGGCCGTCCAGTGCAGGTGTTGTGCTTAGAACAGTCACCCTAGTCATGACAACCAGGTTGATGCAGGGGCCAGTCGCTATTGGCATTTATCATAGCATGGCGGTAGGCCGAAGGGGGAGTGGGGACCTGCAAAACTGAACCACTCCAAAGCGGGGACTATGAACGTTGAACATCCAAAAGATTGGTAGTTATAGGTAGAGAGAGGTATGGGGGATAAGAGGGAGAGGATGGGGCTGTGGTTGAGCCCAGACGTACAACGGTACACAATCGAGTTCCATGCTTCCAGACCAAGAAGCATCGCAGTTCACTGGAGGCCAGCCTCCAATGAACCCTAGGACAACGGTCGCGCAGTTAGATATAAGTCATCGAAAGACCAAATGCTTATCGAGCTTCATAATAATCCTCGCATGTTCTTATGGGGTTTGATATAAATAAAAAGTATTACTCAATATGCTAGGATCTGCTAACTCGCTGTGGCTGTGCGGAGTAGGTAAATGTCCCACGAACGAGCGCTTTCAGCACACTTCATTGGGCATGAATGAATGACGATATCTTCAACTATTAGGTTTGTTGTCCTTGAAGATCAAAGTTCAAAGTGACAGATCTGTATATAAGAGCTGAAGTCTCCCGCTAGAATAAAGACCAAGCCGTCTCTGGGAGCTGCTGTGACCTTTGCGGTCATCTCTACGACTGGGTTCTGGTCGAGTTTTTTGTGCATCAACTGAGTAAAGTGTCATGACTCCGATGCAGGGTGGGTAAAAGGCCTCGGTTGTAGCGCAGAGCGCTCCATATATCGAAATGGCAATGCGACTTTATATGTACAGAGACTGTCACATGGCTGGGCAACCAAGGGCCTAGCTGCTATATAGAAGGGTCCTAGGGGGTTATTTTATCAGGGGATACTACATATAAGTTGCTGAAGACTCTCATACACCTAAGGGAGGCCAGAGATCAATAGACTTCCATTTCACTTGCTACCTAGCTACTAACCTTGTATAACTCTCCTTCACTCTGCCACCGAACTCCTAACAGAGACTTTCTTATCACATAGTTAAAGACGCAGATAGGGCCACGGGTACTCGACAGAGTACATTTTTCTTTCGCTCTATATCAAAGCGAAAGAGAGTTGAAGGCTCAAGACTGGGAGAGGGAACGGAAATAGCGGATGACCTACTTCGAGAAACATGTAATGATCAATACCATCAGCCCACAGTGTACAATTAGGGGAATTTAGGTCTGTCATGCTGGAAGTGAGTGACATTTGTAGGACTGTCATCGTGAAGACATTAGAATAGTTATTCAATGACCGCTGTGTGTACTCTCGATTTCTGGAACGTATTGTGTTCGCGAAATATAGCCAATCTCACCAAAGTGGAATTAGCCGTCCAAATATACCTCGGGCTTGCCTACATCGAACGAAGTTTGACCTGGAAGTAAATTGCTTTTGGACTGTCAAGAAAACAAACATTGAAAGACAAGAGGATAAACCTGTCGCACCAGACTTTTCCATACATGCAAGGAGGAGAACATGATTCTTACAATGGTCCAAAGTGAAGGCAGCCACGTGGGCCTGAGTCCAGAACGCATGATGTTGATGGTAGTTAGCCAAGAGCCTCGGTTCTGACAATCCTATCAATTTTGATTGTCCCCACGAAATATTGAACTTATGTGTAACTAGTGTCAAGTCAGTCCGAGGCACGGGGCCCATAACGTTATGCTCAGTTTTCGCTTAGCCTTTGTGTGCCTATGTGAAGAGGTAGTTAACTATCTGAGCATATGCTAGCTGATCCACATATCTCTCAATAGTTGGTAGGCACCGGACAGTGGCCAGTCATGAGATTCAAGTGTCTATACGTAGTAAAACTCCGTACTGATAAATAGTTTAAATCAGTATACCACCTAGGTGACTGAATGGAAAAAAAAAATTTGTTGACAATGAGAACATATATCGGAAGTCAATCGAGTAACGCTTGCCTATGCCTGTTATTATCGCTAAGCGACAAGTCGAGAAAGCCATTAACCCTGGTGTGGATATTGGGTCTAGAATATACCCATACATGATGGTTTATGCCACTTTGCTAATCTGACGCAGTCTCCAACCCCTAATTTCTTTTTCCGGTCAATAAATGGGAGGCGTACTCAGAATATAGATGACAGTCACCAAAGCACCCATCACGAATCCACCCACGAAGATTTCCTAGTGGCTGTAATCATATCTCACTAACAAGCTGTAGGACTTGCACCAGATGACTGGGTCAAGCAAAAAGATAAGAATGGGAACCTACTGTACCTCATGTCCTGTGATGGAAGTTTTTTTTCTGGCCCAGAGAGACATCCCGTGGCAGCATAGGTAGTTAACTTCCTTGACTATTGTCTTAGCAATCCATCGCAAAACCCCAGATTAGAAGATATGACCACCAAGTAAGGAACCAATACATCAAGAAGACACTTAGTAGAAGAGAAACGCCAAAGAGGACACTAAAGCACTTGAGTCCGTACTTCTTCGTGATACTTACAGGTGGAAGCGGGCGAAGTTGATCTATAACTCGATTTTCGGCAACATGTCTGGCGCCGTTGGGATGGGATCTCCATACTGGCCCTCGGGCGTAGACGTCATCAGCTATGGCGAAGCCAGGCTGAGAGCCGGGCCGTGACAGGTCGAAGCTCATGATGATGGCTTCGTAGTAGGAGCTTTTGGTGATATTTCGACACTGGAACCGCTTGGTGAAAGGTGCTCAGTCTCAGTAGTATATCTCATGTCAATGATGTGGGAATTAGCTGTTGGTGGCCAGCCTCGGATTTTATAGTGAGTTGCTGGGGCCGAGTATATTTTCATCTGGTGCACATCGACAATCGACACATTCGATATCGTTCTTTGAGAGACTCATTGCATGTTCCCCACAATGGAGTTGTTACCTGTGACAGTCGGGGTGCATGCCTGGCCATTCTTGAAACAGACGATGAAAGGATCAAAAAATGATCTGTAACGAGCTATAATAACTATCACAATGTTGGTAGTCTTTGAGATTTCTCCCCCCTTGTTTCGCAAAGATCAGCCACTTGAGATTAAAGAGCGATGAAAACGCGGCTAAAATCTGCTGCTCCTCGAGATGCAAGTCGGCCAGTCGAACCCAAATAAGTCTATGGATCAAGCCATATCAATTATCTAGGGATTTTAGCTGTAAGGTCTTGGGCCTTGGTACAATTAGAAATAGATGATACTACTTGATAGACTGCATGGCTACTTACGCCGTTCTGGTCATGTTTCATATTATTATGCAGATCAATTTCATGTCTCATTTCGTAGGATCGAATGACTCAGTTCTAGTTACTGGTGGCATCACAAGAAGACCCAAGCCTTTGAATCATCCATAACCCGCAATTCTCTGTTTGGTGGAGGCGCACCGTTAGATCTGATCTATCCATACCGGAATGGCCATTGCCTGCAGCAGACACGTCTCTCTTGTTGGAGTTCCAACCAGCATTGCAAACTGTGCCTTATTTGTCCGCAACCTGCGTAAATTGACAACTGTCAACTAGAAACGGACTTAGACAGTGAGGTAGGTCTCTTTAGGTTAGCATTCGTGTCGACTAAGCCTCCTTCAAAGAACTGGTTTTTCTCAGGCGAAGAGATATTTCCGTAGCAAGCTGATTTTGGAGAAGCGACGAGCACCTGGTCAAGGGAACTCGCAGCGAATTCGGCTTATTCCACTGGGCACCAACTAGCTCGAGCGATGGCAACAGGCAAGGAGTGCGACAACTCCGCGCTTGCCGACAAGGTAGCCGATTAACTACTTTGCTCACATCCCCTAATTCAACTACATCGGGCCGCTGCGGGAGCATAGACACGGAGGCACGCTGGTCTTCAAGGAAGATAACGACCATGGCAACTTCCTCCAGCAGCTGGTGGTGAAGCTCTCGCTTCTGGACCCGGACGAGGACCGGATGTTCAGGAATAATATCCAATATTTGCGGTGGCTGCTGGGCGCACGCTTCGGAGCAGCGCCATCAACTGGCCGAAACACGGCGAGCCTGACCACACTCCCACGCCCGTTATGGAGTTTATACCGACGGGGCCTATGTCGAGGTTTGTGCAAGAGAAGTAACAGTCAACGTGTTCCGAACTGCATTCTTTGGTAGATAACCTTTGCCCATCTTGTGCTTGTATAGCCATAGCGTAGTTAGTCCCAGCAAGGCCCCGAGAGCAGGCCGGGAAAAAGAGAGATCGTCCCACCTGGCGTTGACCCTACCGCATATATAAGTTGCTGTTTAGTGGCCTAGATCCAAGTAATATTGATGACTACGAAGTTCCTATCACAAAGGTGTGAAAGAATTCAGCTGAGTCGCTTGACAATAGTTGCAGCGTGGAAAAACTTCTCGGATAATGGATCTCGGTCGTGCAAACTCCAAGAACTGACTAGTTATACTGATATACTTGAAGTGTGTTATCTACCTGTACTTGCGAGCTTACGGTTTGCCTCACTGGTATTCTACCGGCATTTGTGGGAAAAAGGACAGGAAAGACCCTGTCTGCTTTTGCATTCTTCATATCAGGCTGCTCACCCGAGTGTTTAGATCCTGCAACGGCTCTGTCCAGTTGAGTCTGTCGACAACGATTTTCGCTATCGGGCTACATTTCCCATAACGTATAACGACACCGGGATGGCATGGCAGTATGACTAGTCAATAAGGGGGGGTGCATGTGGTTCACCTGACCACTGATAGAAATCTCAAATTTATCATCGTGATATCTACCTATGCCTTCTTCTCCGGTTTCCAAGAGCTGAAGTCCCTAAGCCATTTCTTTACTGTTCTAATCTCCCAATAATGTGCCTCCCTGATGAACTGCGGCTCCGCATCCACATCAAGAATGCCATACGAGTCCCAATGGTGACCAGCGCCGGTGATAAACATCTCTGGGTGTAGGTCCGAGGTCTGCTGTCGAGGCGGTGCTAGATCGGAGTGATAGCAAAGGCCGTTCCACACGTCTTGGTCCCCGTCGATG